GCTGGGTCATTGCTCATACCCACGACGTCCTCAGGCTTACGTCGGGCCCGGCCGCGCTTCGAAACCTAACCGTAATGAATTCAACCAAAGGATACTTTTCACCAAGTTTACTAATAATCGTTGGTTTCTATACCTGTGCTGTGACGCTGCATCCAGATGAGATTTCATTAAAACAGGTACCGATCAAATTTTAGAGAATGGAACGAAGTCGTGTAATTTCCTCGCCGCAGAGAGCTTTGACCGAATATGTAATTAAACTTTAGTGTAGCGATGGAAACTGCAACACCTTCCATTCCAATTTAGTTGCACAGGCCACGGAAATAATCGCGTGCAATAATAAGACACCTATTATTTATGTCTAAAGCCTTCGCCGGCATAATTTATTGAGTACGACGTGAAGGCATTAAATAACTTTTTCAGTTGATAAAATAAATTCCTTATAATGCTCTAACGAATGTTTCGTAAATTAAGGGTAAAGGAAAACCAGAAGATGATATTTACGAGCATTTAGTATGGAGATCTTTCTAAAGGAAAAAATGAGGAAATTCTAAATTTTCGAGAGAAAAATTAAATTTTGTACAGTTGAGTTTTTTTTAGAAATGTATCCACCTGAACATTGTAAGTGTGCGTAATTTTGTAGTTTAATACCTACTGTGAAACTGTTTTGAACATATAAGGCATATAACATATAATTAAAACAATTTCCAAATAACACGATCCGTTTGGGAGCCTTCCATACCAAAAATTCACAAACTAGGCATTTTCACTTGATATTGAAGTGGCATTTTCAATTCTGCCAAATCCAGATTCGTGATATTTTCCATCGGAAATAACAACTAAAGGATTGAACGTATTTGATTTCGTAATCGATGTACAGTTATAAATTACTCTGATTCTGTTTATCACTGTGGTGTGCCTACTGAATTTGCTACTTATGTACGCTCCTAGAGATTTTATCTTGTGCTTCATGGTTATCTCCCTCCCGGCTATTGTGATCTTTCCTCCTTCTTTGTATTGCGTATTGCTTCGTGGGTGTCGTAACTCTTTTCGTTGTTTATTTGTAGGCCTGCCATTTCCAGGTATACCTCGCTGGTTTGGACGAGGATAGCGGATATCCTTGTTTGATTCCTCTGGTTTTCATTTGGTGCTCGGTCTTCATCTCAACCCATAGTATACTGGTATACTCCCTTAGGCACGCGTTTATAATTCTATTGGTTAGGAATTTGGCCAGTCTCAGCAGCACATTGCTTGATGCTTCACTTGGTCGAAGGCCTTCGCCAAGTCTATTGCCAGAAGCCATATTTTGGTTCCTGCCCTCCAGTGTTCGTTGATGAAATCTGCTTGGTAAAGGAAGTAGACGTTATTTTTTGACAGGTTTGTTACTACTTTATATACTACATAACCTCTCTTTTTTAACATCCTTCTAATAGTTTTTTCCTGTCTAACAACATTACATCAACACCAACATTCATTAATTTTATGACGCTCGGCCTGGAGATTGACCTTTAGTGGTCGAAAACGATAGCCTTAGAAAACACATTTTAATAAACGTGTCAAAAAATATCGTCTACTTCCTTCATTAATCCACACGTTTCTAAAAGAGATGGAAAATTAGATCCAACGAATCTGCTTGGTAAACTGATGTCTTGGGTGTGTGGTCATCTAGGCACTGTTGCGTATATCTTGTATGTCGCACTGCATATCGAGATTCTCCTGTAATCGTCTGTTTCTTGTGGTGACCTGACTTTTGGGATGGGGATCTGCACTGTCTGCTATCATTCTTTAGGGTCCATAGCTCCTGAATAATTCATGTAGATTGTTTATTAGCCGTTCTTATGCGTATTGTAGCAATTCGGCGTGGACCCTATCCTGCTCTGGCATTTTCCCCTTTTTCAGTCTTCCTAGTATCTCCATCATCGTGAGGGGTGACGGGAGTGGGTAGCAATTGATCTCCTTCATTCGCTGCGCCGGTGCTTCTTGTTCCTCCTTCAGGAGCGTCTCTATACCTGTCATTGGTTCATTTTTTGTGTTCCTTCTTGTTTCCCCTTCTGTTTTTTTATGTGCTTAATAAATTTGCGCATTCCTTCCCATTGGGCTAAGCTTGGCGATGTTCTCTGCAAACTCGGCGAATTCCTTGATCTCATGATGTTCAAAGGTTTTGTTTTTCTCCTGGTCCCCTTTGCTTCAGGTTTGTGTGGGTTTTGCTCAAAGTGCTCTGCTGTGGTTGTCCATGGCTTGCTTCCTGTTCGGTGATATGGGCGGTTTATGTCCCACAAGTGTTTTCCCTGCTACTTCCTTGAGAGTTTCGGCGATCCTGTTCCAAGATTGTCTCCCTCCCTCCTTTTTGTTCCTGATCTCGTCCTGCTCCTTTCTATAGTGCTCCATTTTCTTCTCCCCTGTCAGAAGTTTCACATTCCGCCTTTCAGTTCTCCCGCTTTTCTCCCTCTCCTTTCCTTCTGATTCGCTTCCTCCGTCCCCTTTACTTTCCCCCTTCCCATTTTGTGGTCCGATCCTACTGTTCTGACCCATACTCCTACTGTGTTCGTGATACTTATTTTATTTTACTTGGTCCTTACTATACATACACAATGCTATTTATTAAGAAGTAGACATAGGGATGTATTTGTATTGTTTTTCCCTATGTCTACTTTTAAATGACAAAAATTCTTCTGAAGGGCGCCTAATTTTATGCAACCAAAATAACTTCTTAAAACAATGACAGTTTAAGGAGCGTAAGGGATTTATTTTCTGTTAATCCACAGCAACAATTTTCAAACTACTTAATATGACAGTCAGATGTTTATTTGTTTTAATAAGTTATTTTGGATGCATAAAATTAGTCCATCTTCCACTCTTTTGCTCTATTATTTCGCTCAGCTTCGTGAGTTCCGCCTGTCCTCTTTTGTCCGGGGGATGTGGCATCCTATAACCGTTAGTCTTCCAATGATTTGGGCCATAGATATACTCTCGCTTCTTTCATCAAATTTCTCAACCTCAATGCCTCGGTGTTTCCAGATAACGATTGTTGAGCATCTGATGGTTCTCTCTTTCTATGCTCCTCCTACCCAATAGTCGTAGTTCTTTGTCGCGGCCATCCCACTTGTTAGTTTGGTTTCTTGTATGCTAGCCCCCTTTTCTTGAGGTCCTTTGCCCCTTGTACGTTCCACGTGGCTACACTCATGCTGTTGCCTCCTTCTACATCTTGGCTGCCATCCTGGTATTTTCCGCTCTTCCTCGGCGTGACACTCCTTTCGGATAGCCCCCTTCTTCGTAAACCACTATGTGATAGGTATTGATCGCTGCCACCAGTGATTCGTATCGTCTCCAGCATCCCTGCTTTCTGTGATCCCTGAGGTAAGCTTCTATCTTCTTCTCATTATTGGTTTATTGATGATGCTACGTTCCCTAACAATTGTGTGTAGAATTCTTCCAGGTTCTCCTTGATGAATGTGTTGGTTTCTTTGCTAATCCTATTGGTTACTCTACTGTGTGGTTCTGATGATACCGGGAATCCCCTAAGTTGGTGCCCAATCGCTCCAAACAAGCAGTCCCCGTCCTTATTTGTCCTGACGCACTCTAGAATGTACTCGTTTGTGTGTTGTGCTTGTGATTCGAATTGAGTCTAACGAAGGAACTAAGCATCTTATTTATCCCTTTTGGCCACGGCACATGTCGAGCAATATAATAACGTTATTTGACAAGCGTGAAACTCTACAGGAAGACACAAAAAAACCACCCAGCCCTGACCCGAAACGGGCTATTAGGAAGGTAAAGATTCCCCTTGTATGCATACAAAGGTGTGTCGTCAGCAGTGGGAATTTAATAGTCTGATTTTTGGATTACGGTACTTATATTTCAATGATTGGCAAGTTCATGTGTCCCTTCGTCAGGGTCCACTTTGTTCCGCCCCCTCGAGATAGGTATATTTGCGGGTGCGTATAAGCGCTGCCTTTCGCAGTTCCCCTGTTTATCTAATCAACCTGGTTAATTCCCCCCCCCCCCCCCGTAACTTGCGCTCCTTATTCTATCTTTTCCCCTTTAATTAAATTTAATTTTACCCTTAATTTTAGGTATTAAGTATCAATTCTTTACGCCCTTGTTATCCTGTTGCTTGGAGATTCCTATATTGTCTTGTTCTCATCACAATTTAATTAGATCTTCGCGCGTTATTTGTGTCTTGATAAAGACAACTTCGAATATATGTTTGAATTATGCCGGGACCCGCATCGCGTTTCAAAGTTCTTTACTAAAACAGCGCTCACTAAAAAGCATGTCTGCACTCGTTACCGGCCCGAAGTAGAATCCTTGCCTCGATTTTAGTGCACGCTATGGAATACATTTAAATGACCCAATGAGCGTCCAGTTACCTATCGATCAACCCTTTTGCGTAATCAATCGTTTTTAAGGGATTTGCAACATTCGCGGTCATTTTTTATATTCCCAGATTTTGTATTTTACCTCAGATATTTTTTCATCGACAGAAATTTAATTTCAACCTCAGAATCTAAAACAACTGTACTTATGGTTTTGCCAATTTCTGCCTTCATACTATGTACCTAAGTACTTCTATTCTTCCAGTTTATGGAATAAGTTGACCAACAGAGCTGCTCGATTTTAAGCAGTACTTCTGATTCAGATTATACTATCTTCCTACAATTCCACTTGCTACATGTTCATCACCATACTATGGTCAAGTAATAATAATAATGGTTTCATTCTCTCTCCAGTGAATCTGTGGTTCATGGTCAAAATGCTGCTTGATTTCTAAATTCCTTTGCCGCTTCTTTAGACGCTCATGGCCACTTTTCGAAGTATCCAGTCTTACACACATATAAATAAATACTCCTTAGTTTATGAAAAAGCCGTGGAAGTTATACCAGTATTAAATCCAGATACTTCAACCGATTAATAGAAAAGGAATTTCGAAGGCGTATGCTTGTAAAAGTTGTGATACGCCTTTCTCTTACGTAAAGAATTTGTTATTGTCTAAATTGCGTAACTGAAACCAGATTGGAACAATTTAATTACCTACATATAAAATATTGCACGTGTAAATCTAAACTTATTATGTATATATTTATAATTTTATCCAAAAAATCCTCCGTGATAATGTGGTCGGTGTCCACCAAACCCGAAGCCTCCATGTCCTCCGTGTCCGAAGCCGCCGTGTCCGAAGCCGCCGTGACCGAAACCGCCGTGTCCGAAGCCACCGTGTCCAAAACCGCCATGTCCTCCGTAATGTCCATGGTAATGCCCGTGATAGTGTCCGTGTCCACCGAAACCTCCTATACCACCAAATCCTCCTCCATGGTGATGATGTCCTCCACCTAGCAATCCCTCTATCAGTCCAAAAGTACGCCCATCACCAGCTTCTTCCGCATATACCGCTACTAAACAAGCAGCAACGAAGAGTGCGAACACCTGTAAGCGATAATTATTTTAATCACGATGAATAACTAAGTGCCTGAAGACACCTTAAACGACATGACTAAATTCGGACACCCACGTGCACGCAACAACTATGCACCGGCAACGCCTTCCCTTCGAATTTATACTCGAAATTTGTATTTTTGGAAGGGATTGCACCTATTTATTTACACCTATTTTCAAATCGACCGTGATCATGTTGCGGATGCAGCATGCGCTTACCTAACATCACTATACCTATATGGGTTAAGATTTAAGTTTTACGGTTTACTTTAGTTAGTAAGAGGGAATTTCGTGGCTTGAAATCTTTATCCGGGATTGATTCGTAACGTGAGTGAGAGATTTAGGATTAAGCAATCTGTTACTTTAAAAACATTCACCCAGGGGAAATACGAGGTGAAATTTTGGGATTTCCTATTATAAAACAGTCGCGGTTGTAGACTTTACGTAATTGTACCTATCTACTCTTTAGTAATTAAAGTCTTAATGGAATCCAAGGTAAATTATACTAAATGGATATTGAAATCTCAGTACTGATGAAACGCGATTTATTGGTTCGTATTAGTGCTCAATTATTATGCGCATATTTTATTTGCTCTATCAATGTCTACAAAGGCGTTGGGTAATACGAATAAGTAACAACTGACAGATTTCATCTTGAATGATGCAAAGCGTTTTTGCTTCGCTATCGAATAGCGTTTTTGAATTACTTAATTAGAGTACTTGATTTAGTGATGTGCATGAGTTTTGGGCCTACTGCACAGCTTTTAATAAAAATGAAATCGGTATCACGATCAGTAGCTTTGTATTATCTTGTACTTATATAAATTTGGTTGCTCTCGTCTTATCAAAAGGATTCCTAGCGGTCGGGGTTGTTTTATACTCGAACAGTTGATTCATACCCAGGGCTATCTATTTCTAAGGCTACTCCTATTCAATGGTGTTAAAGCACCTGTACTGAAAACGAATCATCGTTCACTTCAATTATTGTAAAACGTTCCTAGACACTTTACTGTTAAACATCAATGTATTTTGATCATTTGAACTTATCTCGAAGATAATCCATCGTATACTCGTGCAGCTGTCGTAATACTGCACAATCCAATAGGGATGTCTACTCAAAATTTGAAGTAAATCACTGCTCTAAGGTTGAAATTTAGCCTTCCTTAAATTCTGAACGTCGCCACCGAAGGGAAAAAATTTAATAGTAACCTTCTAGAACGTATGAGCACAGATATACGTAAAGAATAGATTGCTTTACGTTTATCTGTGGTATGAGGCATCAATGTATTTGAAGGAAATCGGAGGAACTGTATGCTAATATCTCTGAACGTAGGTACATTACGATGTCATACTCAAGGGGTAACTTAATGTACGAACATTCAGCGATTCCGATTTCTCAACCCTCTTTTTCACAGATCTGCATCAATTATTTTTTACAGAATCAGCAAAATAAGCTTAAATTTTACTGAGTGCATAGATACGTAGTTCGCTTCATAAATTTCTTGTAAACTATAGCAAAAGTTACACCTTAAATATCAATTATATACGTGTTTCTTATAGTCTTTTTTATTACTCCTGAAATACAGTGTAATAATAGTGGAAATAAAATATCTTATCGACTTTATGCTCGAGTACATTCCGAAATTCCATAATTGCCATGGAAATTTGTCTATAAAGATCACCGCCCTTAGAAGTAAAATGAATTTGGTTGAAAAAGATAATAGAGCGTCTATTAAGTGGTTTGTTGCAGAAGCATAAGAAAAGTCGCTACCTACAAAATGCAATAAAGCCTTATTAGTCCAGGCTATATAATATGTTCTTACAAAAAAAATTAGTTACCGGTTTAAACCGGGTTCTTCATGCTGGTGAAATGATTAGAAATTGGGCAAAAATAATTAAATCAGCTGAATTTTTTTGCTGGTGAAATCACGGGGGTTGAAAGGGGTGGAAACTGGTATTTTGCAATTTGTGGCAAAAACATTAATTTTAGGCGAAAATGTTTAGTATAAAATAGAGAATAAAAAAATTAACAACTTTTGTCTCTGCACTACTTACACATAACCTCCAATTTTCCTAGAAAAACCGGAAAAACTTTTTTTAGATTTTTGTTCTTATTTTTGCGGAAAAAAAGTCTTAGGGGTTTGAACTTTGGAGTAAACATCGCTTGGTTTATGATAAAGAAGGAGACAATTTTTTGGGCCCGTAAAGTTGAACTGTTTCCGAGATGTCACGATTTCTGAAAAAAACACCTCTTTTTCAAGGGAATGAAAAATCTATATGACTCCAATCGGCCAGTAAGATCCTCTTAGCCACCAATTACTCCCTACCAACACTGATAGCTATATCAAATCCACGTTGACTGTAATGAATGCTGAAGTTGCAGTTTTTTAGCTTGCGACTCACATAATCAACATTGTAAGGCTTTTCCTGGGAACACGAGCTAACCTCGCGCCAACACTCATAATTTTATAACGCCATTAAAACGCCCCATGACGCATTCTTCGTCTTACAGAAAAAAAGTGCCAAATAACCACTCTACTAGCTAAATGTATAAAAAAATCAACCCCATTAGAAGGTTCTCATTACACATACAACAAATTACGATATTTATTTGCTTTTATTTATTTATCTTTTCATTTAAAACTGCAATAACAAAATGTTTTGCATTCGACAGTAGGAATATTGTTGTTCGTCGCGATTAATAAAATACTTTTAATTGGTGGTTCGTTTATTAAGATGTTTGCTTGACTGCATCGTATTTTCGACTGACTTTCTTTGGGGTAGAAAAGTTCTGCAGCTACCTGCTCTTTCTCCCCGGCGGTCACCCACCGCAGGTATAATTTGTTCGTACATACTCCCGCCCGTTGGAAGATCACAATACTTGCAACAATATCGAAACATGTGTACACTATTATCTAAATTGTATATACATATGAAGCAAAGAACTGGATTCTTAATGTTAACTTAGGGATATGTAAATATTGGTAATTTTATTATACATAACAAAAGGATTTCTTTAAATTTAACATAGACTTAATTTAAAAGACTAGGAGTTAATTTACAAGCTAATTTATAGGGAGCTTGCACAATTTGTTCACGGGTCGTTTAAACACACCACTAGCGGTTTTCACATTCACTACTCGAACGACATCATCAGTTCCTGGGAACGTTTCTTGGACGCGCCCTAGTTTCCACTGCAATGGCGGCAAGTTGTCTTCCTTCACGATAACCATTGCTCCTGTTTCCAGGTTGGTGTCGGTTGCCTTTTGCCACTTCGGAATTTGCTGAAGGGTTGTGAGGTACTCCTTGTGCCAGCGACGCCAGAAATGCTGTCTCATCTGCTCGATTAATTGGTACCGTGATAATCGATTTAGTTTGATTTCGGTATAATCAGGTTCGATTATCAGAGCCGGTGGTTCACCGATTAAGAAATGTCCGGGAGTGAGAGGTAATAGGTCATTAGGATCGTTGCTTAGGGATGTAATGGGACGCGAATTCAAACAAGCCTCAATACATGCCAAAACCGTAAAAAACTCTTCGTACGTCAACAACGTCTGTCCAATCACACGTTTGATGTGATCTTTCACGGATCTAATTCCTCTTTCCCATATGCCTCCAAAATTTGGAGCCCTTGGCGGTATAAAATGCCATTTTGTTTTATATTGAGACATGAAGATTTCTAATTCGTTTTTAAAATTTTGATTACGCCACAGCATTTGTAGGTCTTTCAATTCGTTTCTCGCGCCTATGAAATTGGTGGCATTATCTGAATAGATGTTTTGAATAACGCCTCTGCGAGAAATAAAACGTTTAAAGCAATTTAGAAAGGCGGGTGTGGTTAAATCACTCACCAACTCTAAGTGTATCGCTTTAGTTGAAAAACATACAAATAGACACAAATACGCCTTTGTAGTTTTTCTGGAACGTACATTTCCTTGTTTAATTAGAAATGGACCACCAAAATCCACTCCGCAATTAGTAAATGGCCAGTGGCTCTAAACGGCTTGAAGGTAAGTCGCCCACGAGAGGTCGCATACCTGAAGGTTTGTTTCGGAAACACGAAATGCATCCGTGTATTATTTTTTTTACCACTGATTTACCCCCTGGGACCCAGTAATTCTGCCTTAGGGCGTACAGAGTCGCTTGAACTCCTGCGTGCAGTAACATACGATGTTGGTAAGTTACAATCAACTTCGTAATGTGATGCTGTTTCGGAAGTATTATTGGAAATTTTGCATTAAATTTCATATGCCTTGCGTTCGACAGTCTACTACGTACTCGTAATACACCATCTTCGTCTAGAAAGGGATTTAAGTTAACTAAATTACTGTTGTTTTTTAATTTTTTACCATTGATTAAAGTTGTAACTTCATCAAAATAAACTTGCCTTTGTGCCATGATTAGTGTTTTTATTTCGGCGCTTTTTAATTCTTCTACCGTGATATCGATGGATTTGTAGCTCTCCCGCTTGTTAACATCCTTACAGTTTGTAATAAATCTGTATAAGTATGCACATATTCGTGTAAGTTTAGAGAATGAAGAAAATTTTTGAATAAATGGTAATGATATTGATGTTGTCGTAGTTAAAGTAACGGTTTTTTGTTCAGGTATCGTTTCTGGCCTTCCCTCTTTAACAGAAAAGCCTTTTAAGTGAGATATGTTATTCTTAAGAAATGTTGGTCCGTTAAACCACAATTCCGAGTTAATCAGGTGGTTGCTACTTGTACCTCTTGACACTAAATCTGCTGGATTATCTTTTGTTGCAACATGATACCAGCGAGTTTTATCGCACAATGAATGAATTTCACTAACCCTATTGGAGACGAATACCTTCCACGTATTTGAGGGAAAGGATAACCACGACAAGACTATTGTGGAATCACACCAAAAATATGTTTCAGCAAATTTCGTATTTAGTATAGTAATCAGTTTGCTTGCTAATTGCGCAGATAATAATGCTGCACATAATTCCAAACGGGGAATTGTAAGAGTTTTTAAAGGTGCAACCTTAGATTTAGCGCACAGTAAGTGAACATGATACTTGTTATTGAAGTCTTGGATTCGAATGTATGCGCAACAACCATAAGCCAATTGGGACGCATCGCTAAATGTATGAAGCTCTATTCGTTTATAAGGGTATACAGGAATTACCTTCCGCGGGATTTTAAAATCATTCAGCACACCCATGTTATCT